CTCCAAAAATCTCACCAGCTTTTGGAGGAGGAAATAGGGAAGCAATGGAAACCCATATGGAGATTTAGTTTGAGTTTCAGATTTCCTGTTACAATAGACAAGTCACTTAAATCCTCTGTGTCTATTTTCTCAGTTGTGAGACAGGAATGCTGCTAACAACAATATCTCACCAGGTTGTGATAATCAGATGAGAATGTGAATGTGAAAACGTTTTCTAAAGGTTTTTTCATTTTGTTTTGTTTTGTTTTAGTACTGGGGATTGAACCAAGGCTGCTCTACTACTGAACTACACCCCCCACACACCTTTTATTTTTTGAGACAAGACTTCCTAAGTTGCTTAGTATTATTTTGCATGTCACACCAATTACAGGTTATCTTTTTTTTTTTTTTTTTGGCAGTACTGGGGATTGAGCCCAGGGTCTGGTACATGCTAGGTAAGTGCTCTACCACTGAGCAACATCCCCAGCACCTCTCCCTCTCCCTCATCCTTTTTCTACATTTAATTAATTTATTTAGTTAATTGGTACTGGGAATTGAACCCAGGGGTGCTTAACCACTGAGCCACAACCTCAGCTCTTTTTTGAATTTTATTTACAGACAGAGTCTCGCTGAGTTGCTTAGGGCCTTGCTGACGCTGGCTTTGAATTCTCGATCCTCCTGTCTCAGCCTCCTGAGCCACTAGTGTAACAGGCATGTACCACCATACCTGGCCTACATTTTATTTTTGAGACAGCGTGTTTCTAAATTGCTCAGGCTGGACTAGAACTTGCGATCCTTCTGCCTCAGAAGAAAGATCTGAGTTGCTTGGGATTACAGGAATGCACCACTGCACCTGGCTTCTGTCCTTATTGCTTAAAATATAAATATTGAGTGCCTTAACATTTATATTTACATCTTGCCAGGGATGATTAATGTCTGATGATATAAAGGAATAGTTTAGCCATCAAAAAGAAATGTTTTTATTCAGAAGATACAATGAGGGGCTGGAGTCGTGGCTCAGTGGTAGAGCACTTGCATGGCATGTGTGAGGCCCTGGGTTCAATCCTCAGTACTGCATATAAATAAATAAAAAGACCAATTGACAACTAAAAAAAATAAAAATTAAAAAAAGAAGATACAATGATTTCCAGCAGAATGAGGGCTCTCAGGAAGGCAGTGCCAGAATTTCTGGTGGAGAGGATGAGATTTTTATGTTTATTGAAAGGAGTCTTGAGTCAGAAAAGAGTGAAAAATTCAGTTTTAAAATCAAAAGATTGAGCTATATTTTCTTTCTGCTTGCTATGTGACCCTGATCAAGTTCTTGCCTTTTAATGTACCTGTTTCTTCATCTGATCTGTAAAAATATTTCTTGGAGAAACTCATTCACAATGTTGGGAGGTAGAATCAAGCATAAAACAAAAAATTAGTTTTGCATAGAATGAAGACACTAAAAGCTATGTGCCTTCAGTTAGGTAGTTCACAAAAGGTAAATAACTCAAGAAAAGGAGTCAGTTCCTCCAGTAAAACTATTTAAGGGAAAACTGCACTTGACTTTCTCTTTCTTTTTTTTTTCTTAATATTTTATTTTATTTTTTTAGTTTTTGGCGGACACAACATCTTTGTTTGTATGTGGTGCTGAGGATCGAACCTGGGCCGCACGCATGCCAGGCGAGCGCGAGCCTGAGCTTGAGCCACATCCCCAGCTCTGACTTTCTCTTTCAAGCATCATCAACCTAAAAGCTTAATGTATGTGTGATATGAAAATGTTCTGTTTCAAAGAACTGATAAGAATGTAACCACTGGGGAAAAAAAGAGAATGTAACCACTGGTATTTGCCATCATTTTCCTGACAGAGAATCTACTTTATTACAAGGAAAATCTCAAATGGCCCTGTGCTCTGAATCCAGAACTTGAGAGGATGATCAGATGGAAATCTGACTAGAGGTTATTCATGCAATGCCAAGTGAGACAGAAGTCCTAGGATGTCTCTGGAGCTCCATTACTCTTTGTCTAGACCCCAAGCTCTGCTCCATCTTATGGCTACTCAGATATACCCTGGAGAAATGACCTGTCCCAGGTCAGGGAATATATACATGTAAAATGGAACACGTTCCTATGTCAAACATTCAAGTAGTTGCCAAAGAATGGTCCTTAACGTTTGAACCATTTCCCACACAGATGTTATTTTATTTAAACTTGACACCCATCTGTGCTCATATACTTCCTGGGAACCCCATAGTATAAGTTCCCCAGTTTGAATACCGCTATAAGGCTTGTTATCATCCAAGAACCTAATACAAAGTATGATCCAATACAGGTTTCTTGGGAGGTAATCCCGATAGTCCAGGTATTCTGACTTGTCAGAGCACATTTTTAGAGGATGCACTGAAACTACCAAATTTGTGTTGCCTGAGTCATGAAATCACCACCAGCCCAATGCCAAAGCCACATGACTCTTGGTCACATGGCTGAGGAAAGGTTAACCTAAGTTGTGTACAGCTGACTTTGTTTTGTACTTTCTAGGGCAAAGTTTACACTGTTAATCAGGCAACCCCAGGGACTTCCTTCCTCGACACTCAGTCACTTGCATTAAACCTTGTAAATAAGTTTCTAGAATACTTAGAATACGTCTACCAATACCTCTTTGTCAATTGAAATTTGCTCTGCTTATGTGTAGGATATATGACCATCCCATCCCAGTAAACAAAAACTATGGTTGGGACTCAATCCAAATATTTATGGAATTAGTACTATGGATTCAGTCCGAAGTATATAATGAAGTACCTGCTTTCAAAGAGCTCACCCTTCAGTTGGAAACACAACGCTAAACATACAAAACATCAACACATAAATCAAATCCAATGCTCAGTCATTCTGGGAATAATATATATTATACAACATATAAAGATATTACCACATAATACCACTGGTATATATTTTTATTTTACTTATAGTCCTATCTTTCCCCGTTAGAATGGAAGCTCCATGAGAAAAGGTACATTTTTATTTGCTCAGTTCTATTTGCTCAGCACCTGGTATGTAACTGATGCTCAGTAAATATTTGTTGACTGAATGAAGAAGTCCCTAGAACAGATAGAGAGAAGGCTTCCTGGAGCAGTGGTGTCCCCAACTGGGCTTTGACCTAACTACACTTTTATTCAGCTTGCTTTATAGCCATCTATAGATGTTGGCAAACAATCTCTTCTTTATTTCTATAATGAGAAAGAAATGTGCATACATGTAATTGAAAAAGAGAAGGTGGGGTGGGATGCAAAGAATTTAAATTGGCCCTCCTGGCTCATTCCTGAAAGAAATGTCCCACAATCAATGAATTTCAAACATTGTTTCAAAACAGAAAAACTCTGTTGTCAAACAAAACCCCAAATAAATGGAACAGATAAAAACAGAGATTCTCTGGTTGACTTTGGGATGGTGTGGGGTAGAAGGCAGAGGAGGCCCATCTACTTGATGCCCTCACGATGACAACTGAGCTATATAGCTCCTGCAATATTCTAGTAACACAGTTTGAAAACACTGGATGCAGCTGGGTGTGGTGGTGCATTCTTTAATCCAGCTACTTGGGAGGATGAAGCAGGAGGATCCCAAGTTTGAGGCCAGCCTTAGGAAGACACTGTCTCAAAATAAAAAAGGGCAGAGCACTTGCCTAGCACGTACAAGGCCCTAGGTTCAATCCTCAGTACCACATAAGTAAACAAATGAAAATACTGGGTTAAGGGAACTCTGAAGTCTCTCATCTCTCAAAATTCTTAAGGTAGCTGGGGAATGATCAGGTCTTGCTGAATGAAGGCTTGGGCTCTCTTCTGGTGTTTTCCACTTTAAGCTGAGGAAGTAGCAGGAGTCAGTGCCCCAAAAGAAAAAGAACTGTGTGACCTGGGCCAAGACCAGTGCCCCTTTTCATAGCCAGACCCAGGAAACTAGAAGTCACATTTTTCTTGTGAGACACTGATGAGGGCTAACTGACTTGTATGCCTTCGTGTTGGCCTCAGTTTGAGTCTCTCCACTCCTCTCTCCCCAAAGCTCAGAACTAAAAGCATTCAAGCTCACCTAGCAATTACTCTGGGGTTCAGAGTTGATCAGATTCTTATATACAAGATAAATAATTAGTATGGCACCAGCCTAGATAGAAGACTGGCCTCCTTCATTTCTCACCATCCTCTACCTAGTGCAGCAGGTTGATGTGCTTTAGCTGTCCAGAGTAAGCAGGCCCTACAGACTGCACCCAAAGGGTAATAAAAGAGGGATTAATGAAGAGACTGATTTAAGGGACTTAAGGGTGTGATCAGATTTTTAAAACCTTCGAAAAACTGTAAAGAACTCAAGCACTAGCAACAGCTGAAAGCATTACCAACACTAGGCCTGAAGGAGCAAGAGGTGCTATCACCTTAACAGTTGTGGGAGTGGGAATTAGGTAAAATTACCACGCCCATGCCACTATCAAGGAAAATAAGGATAAGAAGACAAAGAACACAGGATACGGAATCCAGGAGGGAAGGAATTTATGGAATGGCTAAAAGCTGCCAGTTCACTTTGAGTGTGGGGAGCAACGAGGATTGAACTCGGGGCCTCGTGCACGCTCTGCAGAACTCTCTACGGCTGAGCTACACACTCAACGCCGTCCACCCCGCTCCCCAAGCCACCTGCCTTATTTTGACCTTCCCTTCCACCATTGAAAATGACCAGGAGAAGAGCTTAACTACGACAAGTTGAGGCAACTCCTAGCATGGCAGCACTCGGTGTCTCTCTTCAACTCTGGAACGAAGGGGCAGGCGCCAAAACTCCGCGTTGGGACAGTTGGGGCTAGGCGCTTGCCGTAGGGCGCTCATTGGCGCCCAGGTCACCACCCCCTTTCCTCGCCTCACGTTGGTGTCTCACGCACGCACACGCGGCGCGTGCCCACGCCCCCTCCCAGGGCCTAGGACGCAGGCGCGCGCACGCTCCCCGGGCCCGGTAGGCGGGGGGTGGGGGGTGGAGGGAAAGGGAGGGGGTATAAGTGTCTACTGTAGTGAGTAGACAGCGGTGGGAGACGAAGAGCCCGAAGGCCTGGCTGACAGGCGGGTGAACCCTGCACTGGGCCTTGGGCCGGCGGGACAGTTCAGGACCAAGTCAGCGCGCCCCGCGAGTAGGAGCCCGACTGCTGAGATCCAGAGGTCAGCAAGGGGCGAAGCCCCGGCCTAGGCCCAGTAGAGATGTCCAGCTGCGGTGCTTGTACCTGCGGCGCGGCCGCCGCTCGGCTCATCACCACCTCGCTCGCCTCCGCGCAGAGAGGTAATGAAGTAGTCCCATGTCTGAGCCCTCGGTCCTGGGAGCGTGGACCTGAGGCGGGTGGGGACCCTGGGGAGGGCCCGAGGCGTTTCTCACTCGCGGGTTGCGAGTTGTGAGGCGCTCTACTTAGCACCCACCCACACTTTCCCTTGGGATGGGGCTCTCTCTACCAGTCTCTGGAGAAGGTGTTTCTCGAATTTGAAGAAAATCCTTGTGTTCTTGCCTGACCGCTCGCTTTCGGGCCTCCAGAGTTTGGGGTCTGAACTCTGGATGAGGCACAAAAATGCTCCTCTCATTAAAAAGTGTCCTGAGACCCCACTCGGTCCTTTCGGGGGCCGCCGACTATGAAAGCAGCTTCTCTTCCGGAGTCTGGCCGAGTCTCCCTTGGGCTGTCGGGGGCACCGGGAGGGCAAGAGTGAGGGGCTGTCACTTTGGGGTCTCGCGAGGCGCCCAGCTGGACGTCCGGACGCAGGCCGCGCAACACTCGAGGTGTCATTGTGCGGCGGTCAACACCCGGACACAAACAGAGCTCGCAATACTTCCCGGCGCCAGGCAAAACCCGGGGCCCGCAGGAAAGCAGCCGGGGAGATGGGGGAAACTACCGGTGGAATTCTTTTTGGAATATTTGGCCATACCTGCAGTCGTTTGCTGGCTTCCCCGAACTTGAGTCTTGATATCTTTAGAGTGGCTCATGTTTACCTCTCCTCTCTGTTTATCAGGAGCTGCGAAAGAATGGCACTTGAGCCAAGAAATTCCGGAAAAAGAAACCATCTTTCTCTTCCTCAAATCTTTGAGGCTAGAACCTGTTATTGTCACTAACTTCCAGACTAATTCGTCTCGTTTTTTATTTTGTCGGTTTATGATCCTTGGATAAATAAAACTCCCCCTTTCCTAATTTTTTGGTTAATTATAACTTTATTGTTTACTAAATGTCTATCTATCCTGGCAGTTTATTACATAGAGTAATGTGGGCAGAAGCATTTTGTAAAGTGATATATAAATGAATATGAAAGCTATAGTAAAGTATGTTAAATATTTATAAACATTTGAAAATGATGGATGTTTTTAACTTATTTGACATACATTTGTTGAAGGCCTATTATGTGTCAGGACGTTTTGATGCTGGAGGTGGTTGAATAAGTCTTTACCCTCATGTTTAAATGTGGTGGAGTAGACAGTAATAGCATTTCTAGCGTGTATAAAGTATTTCGGTATTCTTTTTGGGCAGGGGCACTATTTTTTTTAGCATAGAAAGCAAGATTTCTTTAAAAGATAGAACAAAGATAGCCCCAGAGCTGCTTTGAAAAAGTTTTTGATCTGTTCTAGTCAGGAGTCCTTGAAAACTATGAATCACAGGACAGGCAATTATTTATTTCAAACCCGTCACTGTTTTTCCTTAAAATTTAAATACATCAACAAGGTAAATCAACACAATGGCTTATTATCTATTTCTGTATCCATTAATATAAGTTGCCAGGGGGTTTTAGAAATACAGAACTATTGTTTTCACTGAAAAGGAGTAAACTAAGCTTCAAATATGAGACAGCACCCAGTATCATAGAATTTAATATTTTTATGAAATGGGCAGATGGTTTACACATTTAAGACTTTCCCAAGCTTTAACTACGTAATTTTTTTTCTCCCTAATGAAGTGGCTATGTTTTCCCTAATGAAGTGGCTGGTTTTAACTCCAGTACAAGTGATCCTACCCCAGCCTCCTGAGTGCTGGGTCTACAGGTGTGCAACACCACATGTGACTGAAATGTTTATTTTTTATTGTAGAAAGTCTCTATATATAGCCTACAAGAAAGGGGACTTAATACCAGGAGGATTGTTTTTATTTGAAATTCTTGGAAAGAGGAAGAGGGGAAAGAGAAAAATCAGGATTAAATTTTATTATTTTTTCTTATACACATTAGAGTTAAGAATTTCTCATCAAAATACTTATAATTTTCTAATGAGATGGTGGGAGAATTCTCAATTCAAAGAGTTAAGAATAGAAGTGGTAATTTCAGAACTTCTGAAATAGTTTCTATTTCCATGGGCCTACCAAGCTATACTTAAAATTTTTCAAATGATAGTTTGAAAGCTTAGTAATTTGTTGTATTTGATACTGGATCTGTTTTCTTTTCCTGATGAGCTATGTATACCAAATTTAATGTGTTTTTCTGCACTATTCTCTTTGAATATGAAAGCTATAGTAAAGTAGAAATTTAAAAATTTTTTGCTAGTGTTTTCCAGTTGTGATGTATATTTAATATATTTTGCATATATGAGATCACATTGCATTCCAAATATGTGCATTAAGAAATGCTTAATTCCATTTAAAAACTTTTTGAATGACAATGCTTGGTCTGAATTTGGCTATTTTAAGACTAGAAATGTAGGGTGTAAGTGAAGAACTTAAGTATGTTAGCGTATATAATTTTCATAATAGTTACGGAATGGACCTATCTTGAAACTTTTAGCTAGATTTTGTTTTGTTGGTACGTTATAATTGTACATCATAGTGGGAGTCAATGTGACATATTTATGCATGCATCTAATATAATTTGATCAATTTCACTCCCCCAGATACCTCCTCTACTGGCCTTCTTTTTTATTGTTATTATTATCATTATTGTTGTTTTTGTGGTACTGAGGATTGAACCCAGGGCTTTGTGCATGCTAGGCAAACATCCTTGTGAGCTATATGCCTAGCCCCTATTATTATTTTTTTAATTAGTGCATTATAGTTATACATAAAAGCGGGATTCATTGTGATATAGTCATATATATGTGGACGTAGCATAATTTGGTCAATTTTGTTCCTCAGATATTCCCTTTGCTCTCTCCTTCCCTTTCAATCTTCCTTTACTTTATTGGTCTTTTGATTTTTAGTGAGATCCTTTTTTATTCCTTCTTTTTTTTTTTCCTCTGTAGCTTCTGCACGTGAGATAAAATATTCACCCTTGATTTTCTGAGTCTAGCTTATTTCACATTTGAGCTAGATTTTAATTCTCTCTCTTTCCACTCTAATATAATACAAATTAAATAAGGCAAACTGAATAAACGAGGGAGCATCTTTATTTCTGGCATTGTAAAAGACCCTCCACCTCCTGCAGGGCTTGGAATTGAATCCAGAGTCTCTCACAAAACTTTTTTTGGTACTGGGAATTGAACTAGGGGTGCTGAACCACTGAGCCATATCCTGGCCCTTTTTGTGTTTAATTTTGAGACCAGGTCTTGCTAAGTTGCTTAGGGTCTTGCTAAATTGCTGAGGCTGGTTTCAAACGTGTGATCCTTCTGTTTCAGTCTCCCTAGCCTCTGGGATTACAGGTGGGTGCCAGTGTGTCTGGTTTCTACAAAAGTTTTTTTAAGATTTCTCTGGCTGGGGGTGTGACTTGGTGGCAGAGCACTTGCCTAGCATGTATGGGGGCCAGGTTCAATCCCTGACTCTACACACACACACACACAAAAAAAAAACAAGGTCAAAGATTTTTCTTGGGTAGCAGAATGTCTTTAATGAAAATCCATCAAACATTTAAAAAAAAATCTTTTTTTTTTAGCTACTGATGGATCTTTATTTATATGCAGTGCTGAGAATCAAACCCAGGGCCTCACACATGCTAGGCAAGCGCTCTACCACCGAGCCACAACTCCAGCCCCCCATCAAACATTTTTAAACGTGAGGAAAGATATTACTTTATTAAAAATATTCAGAGCTCCCGAAACAATAGTTTGAGCATAAAATGGAAATTTGAGATTAATAAATGGGGAAAATTGGGCTGGGATTGTGGCTCAGTGGTGGAGCGCTCGCCTATCACATGCGAGGCCTTGGGTTCGATCTTCAGCACCACATAAAAAAATAAAGGTATTGTGTCCAATTACAATCAAAAAATAAATATTAAAAAAAAATGGGAAAAAACATCTGTTAAGTTGCTGTTATTATTTTTGAGTTATTGTTGAAAAAAATTTTTTCAATTTGTGTTAGAAATTAGAGACCATTTTGTTTTTGTTTTGTGATACTGGGGGGTTGAACCCAGGGGTGTGCTCTACCACTGAGTTACATCTCCGACCCTTCTTTATTTTTTTATTCTAAGATAGGGTCTCACAAAGTTACTCAAACTTGTGATCCTCCTGTCTCAGCCTCCTGAGTAGTTGGGATTACAGGCATGTGCCACTGTGCCCAGCCAAAGACCAAGTTTTTGAGCAAGAATTTAACTTGATTTACTATTTCACCAACTGTTACACACTTGCACTAAAATAGATGGTAATTTTTAATTCTTTCACACTATTTCTAAAACATTTATGTATTTAAGATTAATCATTTTTATGTTTTTGGAGACTCCTTAGTTCAAGAGTCAAGTATAAAATTGAGTAAACTACCCTTCTACTTCTATTTTTTAATAGCCCTAAATTGGGTGTGCCTAATTCTAATACTTATTTTTAAAAGCAGTTGTCCTGAAACTCAGAAAGCTTTATCTGCATGACAGAAGTTTTGTAAATAGTTTAACTTTTAACTGGCTTTTATCATTGTTGCCAAGTAGTGTTGCAAAATATACTTTACAAAAATACTTACCTTTTTTGGCTTTCAGGGGTTCTTTACCTGAAGTTCATGGTTCCCAAGGGGTCTATGAACAGGATTCAGAGATTTTGTGAACTTTGTTTTCAGTAGTCTCTAACTGAAATATAGTATTTCCTTCAATTATGAATATAGCAACAAATCACAGTAGTCTTAGAAGTATTTGTGAATTTGTCATTAGTCAAAATCTCAAGTATTTTCATATCACATTATAGTCGCTGATATCTCAAAATATTGTTTGTACTTTTTATTACTTCAAAATCATAGTAGTTATTAAAAGAACTATTAGAGCTTATTTAATTTTGTAAATAAAGAAGCATATTTTAAGTTCTTTTTTTCTTCCAGTGGTGCTAAGGACCTAACCCAGGGCCTTGTGCATGCTAATCACTGAGCCATATTCCTAGTCCAAAAAAATAATTTGATAAGTACTTCAGTATAATTAATTTCTTTTGTTCTATACTTTATGCATTTAAAAAACATTATTCTGGAAAGAGATCAATCCAAAGGCTACATCATACTTCCAAAGAGATTCATGGCACAAAAAGGATTAAAACTCCCAGATTAGTTTGCTCAATGCTTTATATTGAAATATTTCACTAATATGGATGCTTTAATGAATAGTACATTAAACTGTTTTTCCTCCAATTAAGTACATTCACAATGTTGTACAGCCATCACCATAACTCTTTTCTTGTAAAACTAAAACTCTATAACCATTGATACAATAACTTTCAGTTCTTCCAGTCCCCAACAGCCACCATTCCTTTTGCTATTTCTATAACTTTGACCAGTAAGTACCTCATAAGTGGAATAACACATAATTTTTAAAAAGAATAATTGAAATTTGTTTACTTTGTCTTATATATTACCCCCATGTAATCAAAGACACAGACAGCTGTTGCTCTCACATGCTTATTTATATAAAAATATAGGGCACAAATGGTCTTTTAATAAAACCTCCAGGTAAAGCAGATGTTGAACTCCTTTCACATTTTAAAAGAGCCACACATTGTTATACAAAGGTGGGGAGTGTCTTACCTCACTTTGAAAGGATGGAACCAGAAACAATTTCTTTGCTTACTAAGAGTCTTTCAGAGGCTATGGCCTGGTTGTTTTTTGAGAGGACTTTGGTCTCTGATGGTATCACTCACTGTTTTCTTTATTAGCGTGTACTATTGCTGTGAAAACTAACTTTTCTGCCTCTTTTATGCTCAAGGACTTTTGTTTCCAGGGGATTTATTACGGCATGTCAATATTTGGTTAGGTAAACTGATAGATTTCCTTTTATTTTCAGGTATTTCATGTAGTCGCATTCACGTACCAGTTTTAGGAAGGTTTGGGACCTTTGAAACTCAGATTCTGCGCCGAGCTCCTCTAAGAACCTTTTCAGAAACACCAGCATACTTTGCCTCAAAAGATGGGACAAATAAAGATGGCTCTGGAGATGGAAATAAGGTAATTGTTTTATTTTTATTGAAAACCATGTAAATTTTTTTTTCCCCCTGTAGTGGTAGAGTCTGAACCCAGGGCTTTGGGCATGTTGGGAAAGTGCTGTACTGTGGAACAACATCCATAGCCCCATTTCCCCCTCATTTAATAGTTAAATATAATAATAGTACTGTATAACCTCTGGGTTTATATTGCCTTGTAGAAGAAGCTGCATAACTCTTCTACTTTTACTGTCAGTGTCAATAACTGTCTGAAATACAATTTTCCTCTATTGCTTATTGAGTCATCGAAAGAAAACTCTTTATTATACATGGTTGCACATACTGGGTAAAAAAAAAAAACAACAACAGATTAATATACGTGTTTTGATTTTTGTGGTAAATAGCTTTTTTGATAACTAATGATAGTAAGGATATAACTATGCTGATAATTCCATTCTAGGAATTGTAAAAATTATAAGATTAATTATAAGCTACATCACTTATATTTAAGGTATATATAAAATGATTGCCTGAAACTAATAATCTGACAATCTTTTTTCCTCCTCCACAAACATTAGAAGTCGGTGAGTGAGGGCAGCAGTAAAAAATCAGGCTCTGGGAATTCTGGGAAAGGTGGAAACCAGCTGCGCTGTCCTAAATGTGGTGACTTATGCACACATGTAGAGACCTTTGTGTGTAAGTATTACTTCTAATGTTTTTCTTTTCCCCTTCTTTTTTTTTTTTTAATATTTTTTAGTTATTGATGGACCTTTATTTTACTTGCTTATTTATATGTGTGCTAGGAATTGAACCCAGTGCCTCACACATATGAGGCAAGTGCTTTACCACTGAGCTACAACTCCAGCCTCTCCCTTCCTTTTAAGTCATTAGATATATAGAAATATATACATTATATATACCAAAGTTATTTTGCTCCTGAGCTTAGGTGATTCTCTAAATGTTCACCAGATACTAAAACTCACTAGTGCTTTTAGTACTTTGTGTTGTGGTATAAGAATTTAAGAAAGGGCTGGGGATGTGGCTTAAGCGGTAGTGCGCTTGCTTGGCATGCGTGCGGCCCGGGTTCGATCCTCAGCACCACATATAAACAAAGATGTTGTGTTCGCCAAAAAACTGAAAAATAAATATTAAAATTCTCTCTCTGTCTCTCTAAGAGAGGGATGGAGACCTAGACCTTTCTCTCTGGGAGCATATTCCTTCCTCCCTCTCTTCCTTTCTTCCTTTCTCTTTAAAAAAAAAAAAAAAAAAAAAGAATTTAAGAAAAATATTTGTTTCTTGTTAGGTGTGATGCTGCCTGCCTGTAATCCCAGCAACTGGGCAGGCTGAGATAAGAAGATTGCAACCTCAAGACCAGCCTCAGCAACTTAGTGAGACCCTGTCTCAAAATGGAAATAAAAAAGGCTGGGGCTGGGTGTGGTGGCGCATGCCTGTAATCCCAGGGGCTTGGGAGGCTGCGGCAGCAGGATTGTGAGTTCAAAGCCAGCCTCAGCAAAAGCAACACATTAAGCAACTCAGTGAGACCCTGTCTCTAAATAAAATACAAAATTTTACAACTCCAGCCCAACTACAACTGCAGCCCATCTTACTCTATATTTATTATAACATTTTTCAAATACAGCTAGGGATGTGGCTCGTGGTCAAGTGCCCCTGAGTTAAATCCCTGGTACCACCACCACCCCTGCCCCCATTAAAAAAAAAAGGACTGGGGATGGAGCTCAGTGATAAAACACCTCTAGGTTCAATCCCAGTACCCCTCCAAATCTTTATTTTGATTCTGTGTATTATTTTAAATTTGGATTTTTTTTAGTGTTCATGTATGCAATCATTGAGTTATAGGAAAACCAAGACTTACTCTATATTTATTTTAGTAAATGTTTATTTTTTAGTTGTAGTTGGACACAATACTTTTATTTATTTTTATGTGGTGCTGAGGATCGAACCCAGGGTCTTGCATGTGCTAGGCAAGTACTCTCCTGCTGAGCTACAACTCCAGCCCAACTTACTCTATATTTATTATAACATTTTTCAAATAACTATTAAACATTTCATTAACTAAAAGATCAGTCATTCAAATATTAAGGTAATTTCCTTCTCTGAACTCTCTAGAGGAGTAAGCCCTTAATTCTAGGAAGTGTCAGATATTTATTAATGATTCACTCAAGAGAAGGGAGAGATCAACTATTCAACTTTTGCTGTTAGTGTCTGAAATACAAAGGTGCTAGTACAGATATTTTTCTGTTTGTTTATTTATTTATTGGTATTAGGGATTGAACCCAAGGGTGCTTAACCACTGAGCCACATCTCCAGCTCTTTTTATTTTTTATTTTGAGACAGGGTCTTGCTAAGTTGTTTGGAGCTTGCTAAGTTGCTGAGCTGACTTTTGAATCCGCGATCCTCCTGCCTCAGCCTCCCAAGCCACTGGGATGACAGGCGTGTGTCACCATGGCTGGCAGATGTTTTCTTTAGTCTATCAAATAATCAATTAACTCATTGCCGTATGGTTTAGAATTGAAGTAATGACTCAAGGGTAAATTACACTGTGCGACTATGTCAGCTTTCTGTACGGTTCATTGGTTAAAAAAAAAAAGTCGATGGCTGGGTTTGGTAGGACTCTCACTTTTTGTGATTAGCTAGAGAAGATTCTCCATGTTGTAACCCTAATATTGAGGCTTTAATTACCATTTCACATTTACCATTAGTATTAATTGACCACCATATGAAAGAGTACTATATATAGCATGTTTTTACAGTTTTGAACCCGCCCCCCCCCCTTTTTTTTTTTCTTTTTTGTGGTGCTGGGGATTGAATCCATGGCCTTGAGCATGCTAATCGAGTATTCTGCTGCTAAACAAAATCCCCAGTCCCAGTTTTGGAAAGACTTTTAAAGTGATTCCATTTCATAGCTGGAGTAACAGAGATCTTTGTGGTTTTTGCCTGGCAAAACAGAAAAAGCAGTCTGAATGATTTAATTTGGATTGCCATATACAATGAAAGTGGTAGAACCAAATGATAAAAGTTTCTAAAAAAAAAAAAAAAATTGATGTGAGGGTCTGGGGATATAGCTCAGTAAGTAGAGTGCTTGCCTTGCATGCATAAGGCCCTGGGTTCAGTTCCCAGCAACACACACACACAAAATGTGATATACTACAATTCTAGAATCTGAGAATTGCTCAGTTTATTTATTGGAACAATTTCATGTATATTTTAATCAGGAAATAATTTCTTTTCTTCTTTTTTCAGGGAACAAGTTCAATCTTTATAGACCCAAAGAATAATTTCTTAGAGTAGAAGGGAAAGAGGCTAAATTTAGTAAATGCCAAGAAAGAGACTAAATTTAGTAAATGCAACATATATAATTTTATCTTGCAACCTCACTTTTCTTAAGCCAGAAAATATCTTCATTTTTATAAATGAAGAAGCTGAGGCTTTAGTTCACATAGCAGTGAAAATTTGCTTTTCAGAAGTTTCTACCCCATACATTCTTACCAACTGAAGATTCTTTAGAGGTAAACTAGCTCCTCTTGGGATTAAATATTTCTCTTTTATAAAAGTTTTCAAAACTTGCCAGTTTGTAATTAACCACCGTGGGTAACTTTTAAACAGAGATTTCAAGGCTTCTTCCCTAGAGATTAAGATTCTGTAGATGTTGAGAGGGGTCCTCAAATCTGTGTTTAACAGTCAGACCAAGGGTGGAAACACTACTTTACTATAATCAATTCAAAGCTGAGGCTTATTTCCTTTGGGAATTCTAATTGGAGGTGGGGACTTGGAAGTAGAAAATATGAAAGAAAAGAGTAAAAAGAAGAGTTTGCACTTATACATAATTTACCAAGCAAACAACTGTTGAGTCATAACTGCCAGGCTCAGAAAATACAGATGACTATCACCGTCTCCTCTCCTTGGAGCTTTACTTACAGGCCTTGGAGTATAACAAACCTTTCTTCTCTTGTTTTTGCCTACCCACAATAAAAAATCTCTTCAGAATGTGTCTTTTTTGAATGCCAAGGACCTGTGTGTACACATTAAAACTTGTGTGTACACATTAAAACCTGTGTCATCTTCATCCTAAAGAGTTTTGTTTGGTCTCAGGTTATTTTGTTTAAATCTTCACTTATATACTAGTAAGTATGTAAACATCTTTTTTCTTGCTTTTTGGTCACTTGTAATTCCTTTGTGAATGGCTCATTTAGGTAATTGTTCATTTAAAAATTTTTTTCAGGGGCTGGAGCTGTAGTTCAGTGGTAGAGCGCCTGCCTTGCACATGTGAAGCACTGGATTCAATCCTCAGCACCACATAAAAATAAATAAAAATATTGTGTCCATCTACAACTAAAAAAAATTAAAAAAAATTTTTTTCATTATTTTAAATTACTTAAATACATATATATATATAATCTCCTTTTAAAAAATTAGACATTATAGATAAAGTTAAGGTTTTGGAAATATATCTTTATTGAACATAATGCTTTTTGAAAAAATATAAGTGGTCTGTTTTTCATATATTTTGCAAATTGCTTCTCTTCACTAAAAGCAATGTTTTGTCTTTCTGGAATTCTTTTAGGCAAACTTCTTATTAAAGAGATACATTCTCTATAGTATCTTAAGCAGCAATTAATTTATGCCTTCTTAAGAGAGGTTCATATCGTATTTGTAATCCCTTCATATATTGACATCAGATAATACTTTTTTTTTTTTGTGGTGGTGGGATTTGAACACAGGGCCTTATACATGCAAGGCAAGCAGTCTACCAACTGAGCTATATCCCCAGACCCCCTAAAAGCAATGTTTTGAGAATAATATATATTAATACATGTAGGCTTCATTCTTTCACTTTTAAGATTTTTAATTCATTTACATATGATACAATTCATCATTTTAAAACATACAGTTCAGTGACTAATATAATATATTCCTAAGTTGTACAGTGAATTCTCTAATTCCAGAACATTTTCATCATCCCAGAAAGAAATCGCATAGCTCTTAGTAGTCATTTTTCACCTTCCTCTCCTCCCAGCCATGGCAACCATTAACCTAGTTTCTGTCTCTGAATTTGTCTGTTCTGGATATTTCATAGTGGTATTATACAATAGATGGCATTTTTGTCTGGTTTCTTTCAGTTAGCATATTTTCAAGGTTCATCCCAGTTGTGGCATGTATCAATATTTCATTGACTTTATATATATATATATATATATATCTTTATTTATTTATTTTTATGTGGTGCTGAGGATCGAACCCAGTGCCTCATGCATGCAAAACAAGTGCTCTACCACTGAGCCATAACCCCAGCCCCATATTTCATTGTCTTTTTAAAAAAATATGTATTATTATTATTTTTTTAGTTGTAGCTGGACAAAGTACCTTTATTTATTTATTTTTATATGGTCTGAGGATCGAACCCAGCGCCTCGCATGTGCTAGGTGAGCATTCTACTGCTAAGCCACAACCCCAGCCCCTCATTGTCTTTTGTGGCTGAAAATATCCCATTTTTAGCCATGCATCTTTTAATGAACATTTGGATTGTTTCTTCTCATTGGCTATTGTGAGTAATGTTTCTATGAACATTCATGCATAAGTTTTTGTGTGGACATACATTTTTACTTCTTTTGGGTAGATAGGAATGGAATTTCTGAGTCAGCTGGTAACTGTTTAGTTTTTATAGAATTGCCAGACTGTTTTCTACAGCATTTGTGCCATCTTACAATTGATCAGTATATGAAGATTCCAGTTTCTCCACATCTTCTTTACTGCTTACTTTTTATTCATAGTAGCTGTTTAATAATATTCAATGGTGGTTTTTAATTTGTATTTCCCTGGTGACTAATGATGATCATAATTTTTTCATGTGATTATTGGCCATTTGTGTATCTTTTTTGGAAGAATAGCTATTTAAATCCTTTCTCCATTTAAAAATTGGCTTATCTTCTTGTTGAAGAGTTCTTCATATATTTTTGATGCTAGACCCATATCCAGATACATGATTTGCAAGTATTCTTTCTGTGGGTAGTTTTTTCTTTTAAATGTTGTATAGCAAAAGTCAACAAATTTTTACTGTATAAGGCCAAATAGTAAATATTTTAGGCTGTATGGGACATTTGGTCTCTGTTACAACTATTCTACTCTGCAATTGAAGTGCAGAAGCAATAGTAGACAATGTAAATGAATAAATGTGGCTGCTCCTATGAATTTTTGTATGTAAACACTTAGATTTGAATTTTTTATGACTTTTGTTGTCATTTTTCAGTTTTTTAAAAATGCGAAAACTATTTTAGCTCATGGGTCCTGAAGTACACTTCCATCTTACGAGAATAGTTGTAGAGATTTTGCTGTTTTCTTAGCTGATATTGACATCAGGTATTCTTGTTTGATGTTGTGGAAATAAAATACAATTTGTATAGGTACCATATGAATATGTAGAAAATGATCAGAAATTAGGGAGGTACAAAGAAAATCTAAGAATGTTTTTATTATTTTCTTTTACCTATTAAAAATAATTTATCAAACAAGAAGTTTCTTTTATTTAAGATAGAGCCTTTAGTTATTTTTATTTATGTAATACTTATGAAGGCTTGCTTACTTATGTGTCTGTTGAGGTTTGTATTAAACATTATTACATTGGCTTGAAGATTTTATTTTGGACCTTGAAATGTATTTGGAATCATGAGGAACTTTGATTTAAACAAATCTCCCGGTGTTGAGGGTGTAACTCAGTGGTAGACCACTTGCCTAGCATGCATAAGTGTGTTATTTCATTCCCAGCACCACACACAGAAAACACAAAACAGAAACAAAAACCAAAGGAAAAAAGAAAGAAAGAAAAAAATCTTCTGAGAAGGTTTTCACTAAGGTGGTCGCTCTTGTTTTTGGCATATTCTGCAAGCATATTTATTGGTGTCAGTATTATAGAAAGGACTAAAGTATGATACTTGTAGTAATCATTTAAAGGAAAAAAGTGTGTATTCTCTAGTAATTTAACAAAATTAAATTTTGTGCCCTCCCCTTGAGGAGTTAAAAAAAAAAAGCCTTTAAATTCTTATATTTTTTCCTTATATAGCATTTTTTTGTCTTTCTACAATGTCAGAATTTATTGAATAACAATGAATTCACAGGCTACATCAATTTCTTCAGCTTTAATTTACTGAGTACTCTTGACCCTTATGTAGCATTTTGATAAATAAAATTCATTCCTTGAACTTGGGTATATGTGGAACATGTTTTACTGTAAAATTATATTGCAAATACAGTATTCAAGTTGAATTTAAACAGTCTTTCCACAGCAAGCAAAGAGAGATGTGATATGTTGATGTGTAATCTCTTTCCCTTTGACCTATTTATCTTGGAGAAATATTTTGTTCTTATGTTCTTAGGCCACATTTTCCTGTCACACAGCCCAAACTAGATCAGAGGCGTCTCTGCTCCTTCTTTCCTTGTTTACCATCAGTAACAGTTGTAAACCGTTGCCTCATTATAAAATAAGGTGTTGGCTCTCTTCCCATTGATGGGAAATGGTGGTTACGTATTTGGGCTTATGTTAATTGCAAGTACTTGGACTGGCTCGATCTTTTTCTTTAGGTTAACATTTATAGGTGATCATTAAATAGAAAACATGTATGAGCTCCCCTGGAATTTAAAGTTTTTTTTTTTTAATATTTATTTTTTAGTTGGACACAGTATCTTTATTTATTTTTATGTGGTGCTGAGGATCGAACCAAGTGCCTTGCACTGCTAGGCAAGTGCTTTACCGCTGAGCCACAACCCCAGCCCTGAGTTTAAAGTTTTATGCTAGAATTTATCCAGGTTGTATTCTTTAATTGCCTTGTGTTTAAGATTGGAAAAATAAAAATTAAATTGATTGATTTAATAGTGAGTTCTATTTTTTTTAATATGGAATTTTCTATTCTTTTCATTCAGATTATTATTTTTAAAATATTTTTTAGTTGTCAATGGACCTTTATTTTACTTACTCATATATGGTGCTAAGAATTGAACCCAGTGCCTCACACATGCTAGGCAAGTGCTCTACCACTGAGCCACAACCCCAGCTCTCATTTAAATTATTTTGTGAAGATTAGATGTGCTTGTCAGTTATTAGGTGTGCTTGCTTGGTAATTATGGATAGGTAATACTATTTATAATTTTCCCAAAGAAGAAAAATTTTCAGTTTTTCTTAAAATTCATTTTGTCTTTTGTTTTTTACCTATCTAACTGGATCTCTCTCTCTCTCTCTCTCTCTCTCACACACACACACACACACACACAAATATCCCACAAAATTGTATTATCTAGACATTCCAAATCGGTATTCATTATATGCACTTATATGGGATGCTCTACCATGCTGCTTTCTGAGGTCCCTGGTTACCAATAACAGGATTAGGCTTGGAGAATGTCAAAAACATATGTCCATAAGTCTACATTACATATATAGCCAGATTTTAAAAAAAGAAAAAGGGGGGAAAAGTCACTTTTGGTTTAACACAAGATTAATTATAGGGCTGAGGTTGTGGCTCGGAGGTAGAGCACTTGCCTAGCATGTATGAGGCACTGGGTTGGATCCTCAGCACCACATAAAATAAAAAATAAAGATACTGTATCCACCTGTAACTAAAAAATAAATATTAAAAAAAAGATAAACTATAGCTGATGATTTTGAAGCCCATTTTATCCTCATTTTGTTGCTTTCAAAAACTATGATTATCTTTAAATCAAATCAATATAACCAAGGTTATTTTGTTAGTTTCTTAGTGATTTTTCAATCAGAAAAAATAGGAATTAGAGGCTGGGGATGTGGCTTAGTGGTAGAGTGCTTGTCTGGCATGCATGAGGTCCTGGGTTTGATTCCCAGCACTGGGGGGGAAAAAAAATTAGAATTAGTGGAGTAATTAGGGTAAATTATGAAATATTTTGAAATGTTTACCAAGTCACAGTTTGGAATTTTTCATAATAAAACAGTGGAAAAATACTTTAATCTATTTGTGCTTGACTTTTGTTCACTGTTCATTCAAATACTTAGTAAAATATGATTTCTCAATATTCTCAAAGTGGTTTTTGAAACTGTCTTTAATGAATAGGAAGTTGAAATAATCTCAAAATGAAATATATCACAAAATGGAAGCAACCTAGTAAAATGAATAAAGAGTTTACTGAATTCATCTGTCCTTGTAATATACTTCTTATATACATGAGGCTATTATCATGGCTAGTGGAGTGAACTGTAGCTTACTCTTTGTCACTGCATAAATTTTCATTTACCTGAGTCTTTTGTTTTTGTTTTTGTTTTTAATTTTTGAAATTTGTTCAAGTTAGTTATACATGACAGTAGAATTCATGTATGTACTTTGATATGTCATACATAAATGCAGTATAATTTCTCATTTTTCTGATGATACATGTTGTAGAATCACATTGGTCATGCAGTCTACAGTGAGTTTTTAAGGTTAAAAAACACTATTGGGATTATTTTTAAATGTTCCTTTGCTGATTTCTGTTTTCTTTTTCAGCATCCACCCGCTTTGTAAAGTGTGAAAAATGCCATCATTTTTTTGTTGTCCTATCTGAAGCAGACTCAAAGAAAAGCATAATTAAAGAACCGGAATCAGCTGCAGAAGCTGTAAAATTGGCATTCCAACAGAAACCTCCTCCTCCCCCTAAGAAGGTATAGGTTTTAGCTTGGTCTTTTATAATATTTTGTCTTGGAAACATTACATTATTTTCCTTTCTCATGTTTATACTGAATCCTAACACTGGTATATAAATAAGTATTGTAATTTTTTGTTGTTGTTACCAGGAACTGAACCCAGTATGCTCTACCACTAAGCTTTATCCTCAGTCCTTTTTATAATTCTTTTTATTTTGAGACAGGAGGGTTTAACTTAGTTTTAGAGGGTGGCTGCAAACTTGCAATCCCCCTGCCCCAGAATTCCCAAGTCACTAGAATTACTGGTGTGTGCCACTATGCTTAGCTATAAGTTCTTTTTCAAAAGCTGTAAATGGACATGTGTCTTTATTATGAAATAAGATACCTTTATTTATTTATTTCTATGTGGTTCTCAGAATCAAACCCAATGCCTCACACGTGCCAGGCAAGTGCTCTACCACTGAGCCACACAACCCCAGACCTATAAGTTCTTACTATAGGCTGTATCTGACTAAATTGTTAACTGAGATTTGGTAGTTGGAATTTACATTTGGAGTCCATTGCTTTTTCCCTTGTCATGATTACCATACTTAGTATTAATGAAATATATTTGGATGATTATTAAAATGGTATTAATACCTAGTCTGAAATAATATCCTTAAAAAAGTTCAGCTATTAACTTATTTTGTTAGCTTGGGCCCCTAAGTAACACGAGTTTGCAATTATTCCCCCTTAAATTAGTCTATTTTATGGTAGAAAGGCTTTTAGTATAACAGTGTCAAGTAATTTTTTTTCACAATCACTACTAGGGCTGCCCTGTATATAATCATGGCTTTTGTGGTGTGGGCTCTTGCCAGAAGTCTCAAATAGAGTGTGGTTTGGTCTTGTGAAACATGGCAGAGTGTGCACATGATAGCTCCTTTGGGCACATGATGTGTGGTTTTAAAGAACCAGGAGCCCCTGCCTCCTGGACTTGTACTTACTCCTCTGTGTCTCAGATATGTGTACACTTAAATTATTTCTCACTCTGCCTCAGTGTATCTTTTTTTTAAACTATATCTTATACTATGTATTTGTCTCTATCCCCAAATGTGCTGTGACAGATTTGGAGATTCATATATTTAATTTGTGAGAAGCATATTATATTTTTAAAAATCTATAATAAAATTTAGTTGTGTAGCAGCTAAAGCATTTGTCATGTAACAGTAATGTCATGGAAAATATAGCTAAGAAGAGTTAGGCATGGTGGGGCTGGGGCTGTGGCTCAGTGGTAGAGTGCTTGCCTAGCATGCATTGGGCACTGGTTTCGATCCTCAGCACCACATAAAAATAAAATAAATAAAGATACTGTGTCCACCTAAAACTAAAAAATAATTTTTTTTAAAAAAAGAGCTAGTCATGGTGGCACACATCTGTAATTCCATTGACTCAAGAGGCTCAGGCAGGAGAATTGCAAGTTTGAGGCCAACCTGGGCAGCTTAGTGACATCCTGACTCAAAATGAAAAGTAAAAAGAGCTGGGGATGAAGCTCGGTGGTGTAGAGCACCCCTGGGTTCAATTTTCAGTACCTCATTAAAAGTGTGTGTGTGTGTGTAGCTATTAAGTTTTGTATCTCTCCTAATTTGTGTAGACTTCAGCTGAGTCAAAGGTTTAGAAACTAAGCAGTTTAACTATTTTCAAGGGTTGGTGATTATTATCAGTTCATTTTTATTCACTAAAAATTGAAGGAATTTACCTTGGGAGGCTGAGGGAGAGGTTGCAAGTTTGAGTCCAGCCTGAACAACTTAGCGAGACCTTGTCTCAAAATGGAAAAGGACTTGGGGTATAACTCAGGGGTAAAGTACCCTTGGGTTCAATCTCTTATACTACAAGGGGGGAAAAAATAAGGCATTTTGGACTGGGGCTGTAGCTCAGTGGTAGAGCACTTGCCTAGCATGCACTAGGCAAGTGAGGCACTGGGTTCGATCCTCAGCACCTCATAAAATAAACAAAAAAAATAAAGGCATTCTGTCCATCTACTTCTACAAAAAATTTTTTAAAAATAAGGCTTTTAGATTGCCACTTAGATGAATGAATGCTTTAAGATTAATATCAGAGTAGTAAAACACATGGAAACTGGTAGTATAACTTATGCCTTTTACTTGTATAATGTCTTATTTCTTTTTGTTTTTCCTTTCTTTCTTTCTTTTTTTTTTTTTTTTTTTTTTTTAGGGGGGCTGGTACCAGGGAATGAACTCAGGGGCACTTGGCCACTGAGCCACATCCCCAGCTCTATTTTGTATTTTATTTAGAGACAGGGTCTCACTGAGTTGCTTAGCGACTTGCTGTTGCTGAGGCTGGCTTTGAACTTTCGATCCTCCTCCCTCAGCCTCCCGAGTTGCTGGGATTACAGGTGTGTGCCACCGTGCCTGGCTATCATGTCTCTTTCTGAAAAGGGTAGTTTTATAATATAGTATCTATGAAGAATGTTATGTCCATGTGATTGAGAGAGATATAGAAAATATATTTTTAGATTATTTACATTAATGATGATAGGTTTAGATATATGGTGGCATGGTAGGTATTTTAATGACTTTAATATTAACTTTAAAAAAAATAGAATCTATGGCATTATTTACAGAATAGAAATTAGCATAACCCTAATAGGGAACAGTAATACTTTGTTAAGCTAGAAAACTAATGATGTGGTTTTTGTTCATTAAAGATTTAGACCTTTGAATCATTTCTACTTAATGTATCATGTCCTTAGCATTTTATTTTTAATGAGAGTCTGTTCAAATTTAAAACTCTACAAATATGTTTAGCATATAATGTGTATGATTTATGATAACTCATAGTAACTTATTGATACCTAATCATTTTTCAGATATATAACTACCTCGATAAGTATGTTGTTGGCCAGTCATTTGCTAAGAAGGTGCTTTCAGTCGCTGTATATAATCATTATAAGAGGATATATAATAATATCCCAGCCAATCTGAGACAGCAGGCAGAGGTTGAGAAGCAGACATCATTAACACCTAGAGGTTAGTGCTTTTGATAATTGACCAAAATAGAAATTACTATACTTAGAATTAATCTTTTTTTGTAATTCCTTGCTTTTGTCTTAAAATAATTTTCTGGGGATTGAACACAGGGGTGCTTAACCACTGATCCCTAGCCCTTTTTATTTTTTATTTTAAGATGGGATCTTATTTAAGTTGCTTAGGGCCTCACTAAATTGCTGGAGGCTGGACTCAAAACTTGTGATCTTCCTGCCTCAGCTTCCTAAACTGCTGGGATTACAGGCATATGCCACAGTGCCTGCCTAAAATGCTTTTTAGTACAATGTAGCATTGTTCAAAATGCAGGTTGCTTTCCCTTAGTGGATTATGAAGTCATTTTGACAGGATGCTAATAGCATTTTTTTTTTTTTAAAACTAGGAGTGAATAGAAACTACCAGAGTAGCTGGGCATGGAGGCACATTCCTGTAATTCCAGAAACTTGGAAGGCTGAAGCAGGAGAATTGTGAGTTAGAGGCTCAGCAACTTAATGAGACCCTGTTTCAAAATAAAAAAATAAAATAGCTTATGGTGAAGTGCCCCTGGGTTCAATCTCCAGTACCAAAAGAAAGAAAATGCCAGAGTACATTAACTTGTAGATAAGTTTTAAGTTATGCATATATGGGTTCTAAGTCACAAAATAAAATATTTCTTGTTAAAGGTCTCAGGAAAAGATGTTTGAAAGGGGTGTGTAGGTCAGTGGTAGAGTGTTTGCCTAGTAAAGGGAGACTCAGCACTACCAGAAAGAAAAAAAATGTTGAAGACCACTGGGGTAAAGATTGAGTTATTGTCTTTGAATTACAGACTTCACCACAACTAGTTCACCATGAAAATATCAGTTCTCTTTTGGATTCAGGATACAGAATTTCATTTGCCTAAGTCAGAGATATGTGGAGATGGTAACTATTAATACAAGATATCTTGCACTCTTTCTTTTGTGGTCCCAAACTACAGAGTGCAAGGTGAAGGGCAAATTTGTAAGTCATTGTAAGTGCAAATTTTATAAATCTTAGATTCTAAATACCAGTATACCATATAATCTCAACTTACTGTGGACAGTAATGTATATTATATAAATAGAATTCTTTCATTAAAAAATAACTATGAATAAAATGTAAATATTTAACTCTATTTTGTTTTTCAGAGAGTCCTGATTTCTGATTTATATCTACAGTCTATCCTTTTAGGTTCTTTTTTGTCATTACTATACAATTTGAGAAAGTTTTGCTAAATACTTAAATTTATAACTCTATAATATCTTTTGATTACCTTGAGTGGCTGCTAAATAAACAACTTATTTCAGTGAAGACACTTGTTCATCTGTTGAACTGCAGAATAGTTATGTGATAGTATCAGTTACTTTATTTTTAGAAAGTGTGAGTCATAACTAATGGAAGACTTGGAACCTTCATTTTTATAAGGTCCAAATGGCACTGTCTAGTCATGGAGCAAAAATTTTTCTGTTTCCTTTAGTCAGTAAGTTAATATTGTTTTAGGTACTGAAAGAGCAACAGTTGTGATATTCATAATATGAATGATTTTTAACTCTTATTGAGAATTTAAATCATTATACTCATAATAGATGCCTATTTTTAATCTGACAAATGTGAATATTAGCAACCAGGCAGTCATCATTAAACCTGGTTTGGTTTTGTTTAATATAGAAAGGATATAGTGTACAAATTTTTTCATTTCCAGGAACTTGGAAGGCTGAAGTGAAAAGCTAAAAACAATGTTAATGAATACATCTGTTAAATATATTTGAAAGAGGGCAAGAGATGGGATACTCATTGTTCTCCAAAACTAAACTAATATGTAATATTTTCACATGTTACTATTTCCATCTTTTTCTTAGAGTTAGAAATAAGAAGACGGGAAGATGAGTACAGATTTACAAGTAAGTGATCTCTCAGATCCTCCTCTGTAATCTTCCTTCCTTTTGAGATTTACCTTAGTCAAATGTCTCAACATTTGATAGTAATGATAAACATATATTTCCTTGTATACCAGAAAGATGTGTATTTTTTAAATGTGTTTATCATACATGGTTGATACTAAGTTGGGAACAGTTTATCATACCTAATTTGTGTAGTTGGGTTATTTCAAGCAGTTGATTTTATCTTTTCTGTTATGACACTCTTAAAGCATAGCTTGGAGAAATACAAAGTGTTTTATGTAGTTTTTCTCTATAAATATAAATACATTAACAGGTTCTTTTTAAAATCTGTAGTTTGCTATTTTATATCTTTGGTTAAAAAAATAATAATAAAATAAAGATATAAAATTAGAGTTGGCCTGCTTTAAGTGATTAGAACTTTAATAGAGGGCAAAGTATCTTCCAGCTACTCTTTGCTCCATTTCTTTTTTGGTATTTATGAAATTTAAAGTCTTGCAAATTATGAATAAGCCCCAGTTCATTGTTTCTAGCTCTTTGCACCTATAATTAACAGATAGTCTGATGGAGGGTTTGGAATTGGACCTAATACATCAAAGAGAGTCTTATACCATTGAAATTTATACCATTCTTTTGGCTGCTGCACAGAAGGTGAAGGTTCCAGAGGTGTCATAATAAGGTTAACATGTTTTTTTGCTTTATTAATTGAAATAACAGAGGAAAATTGACAGTTTGATACTTGCACCTTTGCCTTTGAACCAAGCAGTACTATATATCAACTCTTTAAAGTATACTACACATACATTTGAGCCATTATAATATAACTGTTTTATCACCTCTGGCATGAATTTTCTGCATATAAGAAAAGTATATTTGTCACTAGTTATTTTTAAATCTATGGAAATGCTGATATATTGTGCATGATAAAATTAAGAAATTTAACCAATTTCAATAGAATTAGATTATATAAGAATGTAAGATCTAAATAATAAACTAAGTGCATGTATAATCTATATTTCATAGTCCAAAAATATAATTACATATTGACTCAGCAGTATATTCATAAGTATACTGATGGCTAGTAGAACTGGTATGAATTAGTAAAGAAAGTCTGTAGTGAGTATTTTGAAAGACCTGTCTTGTAATACATGTAGTAATTTAATGTTATTAAATGTTAACAATTGACAGTATTGAATAACTTAGGTAAAAGCAATTTACTTGTTTTAATGTATCATTATGTACAGTTTAGTAAAGTCTTACATAGGATTTTAGGTTCTAAGTTAGGCCACTAGACCAAAATCATATATAATCAAAATTATTCTCCTGAAACCCTTTGGAAATCTCTTGGAGATCAGCATACAACTTTTATACTGATATAACTTTTTTTCCTCTATCACTGGAACATAATATTGTTTCTTTTTTTTTTTTTTTGGTACTGGAGATTGAACTCAGGGGCACTGAACCAATGAGCCACACCCCCAGTCCTATTTTGTATTTTATTTAGAGACAGGGTCTCACTAAGTTGCTTAGCACTTTCCTTTTGCTGAGGTTGGCTTTGAACTTGAAATCCTCCTGCCTCAGCCTCTCGAGTCTCTGGGATTACAGGTGTGTGCCACCATGCCTGGCAAATTATTCCTCTTTTTAAAAATTTGAATCATTGAGTAAATTAAACACCTATTATGTAGTTAATATAGCATTTGTAATTTTGTTCAAATTATTTATCTGAATCATTTTTTTCCATTGAGCACAGCTAAAATGCAGCCAGATCCCTTCCACATTGTCACAATTCCTAAGTAGATTTTTCTGAAATTAAAAAAAAAAAGATTTTACCAATAATTTAATTAAACTCATATAGGAGAGTGAGTTTTCTTACCTGATGCAGATTATGAATTTTTCACAAATCATTATCTCTCAAATGGAGCACAACTTAAATTCAAATGTTAGTTGAACACAAATTTGATGACTAGATTAACCCTTTACCTTAAGTATGAAGAGAGTTTAAAAGTGACAGCCAGATGGAATAGGACCATAATAAGGTATGTCTACTGAACCATGTTTGATTAAATTAATGCATTGAAAAAGCACTGATATTTTTAACCCATTTCTTAGAAACAACTTAAAAATAAATCCAGAAATATAAACAAGTATGATATTTCTCAAATGCTAAGAACCAGGAATAATCTAGATATTTACAATTTTGGATAATCTTTAAAAATTAGTTGGATTCTTTCCCTCAACCAAGAGAAAGCGAGAATGAAGATTGATTTTGGGGGGCTGGGGCTGTAGCTCAGTGGCAGAACACTTGCCTAGCATGTCTGAGACATTGGATTTGATCCTTAGCATTGCATAAAAAAAATAAATAAAATAAAATAAAGGCATGCTTTCCATCTACAACTACAAAAAATTTTTTTGTAAAAGATTCATTCTTTTTTTAAAAAGATTCTGGGATTGTGGCTCAGTGGTAGAGTGCTCGCCTTGCATGTGCGAGACTCTGGGTTCGATCCTCAGCACCACATACAAAAATAAACTAGTGAAATAAAGGTGTTATGTCCAACTACAATTAAAATATATATATATATATATATATATATATA